AAAATTTTCCTATTTACCAATCACCTTCATCTATATCCATGCAATCAAACTATGCTCATTCTTCAGCTTCCACTTCACTTAATTCACAATTTTCATCCAGTCAAAAAATAGACACAGTTCCTATCCTCCCATCCCACTCCATTGAATCTTGTGCCACCTCGACAGACGAATCAATGATAGATCTTCTTACTGATTACCATAATTAACCATAAACTGTAGGACTAATTTTTTTTGTAACTAAACTGAATAAATTAAATAAAGTCTTAAAAATAGATGATGTACTTAATACTCACCTTAAAATCATATAAAGCCGTTCTTTTAATGAAATACTTTTACGCATAATTGTGTCATTTTTACTCAATTAAATATCCAAAATTTTATGAAGTTCTTCAAACGACTTCACAGACATTCGAAAATAATTTAAAAACTTTGATGGATCTTGCAATAAATCGTGATACAGCAAATTATACGTTCCCTTGGTTTCCCTTAATTCTACAATAGGATGAACTCACAAATTACGTCGTCTTTTCAGTTTCTTTTTCTTTTTATTTAATATGTACCACAGCATAACACACTCTTCTATATCCATAATAAAAAAACTATAGCCGCACTGCACTGCTTATGTTTTCATACTGACGAGCATGCATGTGATCGCAAACAGCAGCCATCGCAAATTCTGTATCTCGCATACAGTATCTCGCATACAGTATCCTCGCCTGAAAGCCCTCTAAGGGAATAAAGAAACCTTGAAGTTGTGCATTATTAATGACGCTGAAAAGTATTGCTTCCTCTTTTGTTGGAAAATTTTGCTGGGAGGCAGCTGAAGAATAAGATTTATTCTCTGAGACAATCTGTATAGTAACATCTGATTTCCTGTAAAAAACAGACTGATTTTTATAATCCATATACCTGTGTCTATCTACAATTGCTGTAGTAGACTAACAAGGATAAAAAACTAACAAAACTGGTTAAAAAAAATTATTCTCGCTACCTCTTTAAATTTTTAATTGACGGCGCTTATAGGACGAAAAATTATTTTTCATCAAAACATCTCTATTAATAGTATTTCAAGGTTACCTAATTCCGGATAACTTTCGATTTCATTATTATCTTTATTGCTTTCAAAGTTTTACATACAAACAATGTGTGTAGTGCTCATTAACAAGATAATATATTATGTAATATACTACGAGTATTAGTTTATAATCTTATCATTCCATCTGTTAATTGTGTGTTATTTATTAAGTATATACGCGGCAAATGTCAATATTTTTGGGAGATTTTAAAATATTGCAACAATTTTTTTGTCAATAATTTTAAGTAAGCTCGATAATTGAAGACATGAGTGGATAAAGGTCATATGTCACTTTTTTGAAAAAATTGTTTTATTGGTTTTTTGTGCTGCTAATATGCTGTTTAACCTTTTAAAATTTTAAAATTACTTATTTTTAGCTAATTAAAAAAAATAGGAAGGTATTAAAGCAATATGTCCCACTAAATTTTCGAATTCTAGTGGATAAAGGTATTATGTCTAAAATCGCGGACATATTACCTTTATCCACTCAAATTTTTAGTCGCTCAGCAGTTGGTTTTCTGACATTTGACTTTATAGGTTATGTTATGAAAATCAATGTAATTGTGTAATTTACTTTGTGCAAACATTTTTACAGTTTTTAAGTCAAAAAGTTACGAAAAAATTATGGAGAGTAGAGGAAAAAGAATTTACAGACTATATCTTCAACAGAAAGAAAAGAATACTGTTAAAAAAGGTAATATTACATTATTATATAAAGGTTCATATACATATATTTTTTAATACTTGTTGTTTTATGCAAAGTACCAATTAATGCTTTTTACTGTAGTTTTTATCACATACTTACAATATTGTTGGTTTTAGGTGTATTTCCTCCTAGTTCGTCAGATTTAAATACCCTTAAACTCAACGATTTATCCAATAAACAGTATTGTGCAGACATGCAGATACCATCGACTTCCGGAAATTTTGTCGGTAAGGGAATATTTATTTGACATTTCCAGCCTCGTTGACAAGTTAATATAATAATAATTTAAGATAATATTAAAGTTATCTAGTATTTTCTAATCTGTATTAATAATTATTTTGTAATATCGGTTATTTGGAGTGTTTCAATATCTCATAGACAGATAGACACTATGCATTGTCTAAATTTTAATAAAATTGTTCTCCAACGTTTTTAATATGAAAAAATTTGGTTTTGTGCTTTTGAGATATTTGGTATAAAATGAAAAAACACATGGATACCATACGTAAGCCTGGCTGGAAAGGTTTATAATTTCTTAGTAGTAAATTTATTTTAATTTTACTACATATAGTTTTATATTTTTAGAAAGCAATGAGTCAGGAAGCGAAGCAGACGGATATGTGTCGTCCAGTGATGAATTCGTTCCTTCAGGTACGGGCTATTCGGATGAATCAGACTACTATGAAGAAACCACAAACAAAATGTTTTCCAAAAAAATACATGATGCTAAACGAAACATCTTTTCTGAAAAACTTCCTAACAAAAATTTGTTAAATGAAAAAAAGGAACAAAACATGAAGAATATAGACAACCAAGCAGAAGTGAATGCTGAAAATAAGACAAAGAAATTTCAAATAAAACCCAATATTGAAGACAGTCAAAGTGCGGTACATGTTACCGCAGAAGGACAAGGAGCTGATGTTTCCAAACCTCACAGGACGGCGAAAAAAATTTTTGAGCTTAAAGAGAAGAAAGCTCGTAAAAGAGAACGCAACCCTGTTGAATGGAAGAAAAAAAAGGCAGCAATACAAAAAGAAAAAGGGTTGGAATATGTTTCTCAAAATGGAAAAATTATACCAGCAAAAGAAATTGAGGAAGATTTAGTGTTATGTAAAGCAACATGCAGATTAAAGTGTGGAACCAAATTCAGCTTAGAAGCTAGAAAATCTATATTGAAAAGGTTTTATAATTTAGAAAATAACGCAAAAACCTGTCTTTTGTTTAAAAGCATTGACATAAATCAAGTTTCAAGACACCGAATTCGTTCTGGAGGTAAAAAGCAGAAGTTAAGAGAATGTTCTTTTAAATACTCAGTAACTTACGACAGAGAAAAAATATCTGTCTGTAAGGATGCAATTTGTTCGCTGTACCAAGTTGGCTCAAAGAAAATATTAAATCTTCAAAAACAACTTAAACAAGGTCAATCAGCTCCAAGTCCAAGTAAACAAGGGCAACATACAAATAGACCTCACAAGATCGGTGAAGCGGTAGTAGAATACATTACTGAACATGTTCAAATGTTTCCAGCTGAGAGCTCTCATTATTCTCGAAACAAAAATCAGAATAGAAAGTATTTGTCACCATTATTAAATGTAACAAAAATGCATGAACTATACCTAAAAAGATGCGATGAACAACAAATTGGTGAAAAATACTTAGTTAAACTTTCCATGTATCGCCATGTGTTCGATACTAAATTCAATCTATCATTTGGATATCCAAAAAGTGACACATGTAGCACATGTGATTCTGGAGAAAATACTATAGAGCATAAAGAAAACTGTAGCATTGCATTTGAATCTCAAAAAGTAGATAGGCAAAAGCCAATAAGTGACAATAATATGTGCTACATCACAATGGATCTACAACAAACCATGCCGTTACCTAAGCTTTCAACATCAAGAGCATTCTATTTACGTCAAATGTGGCTGTATAATTTTGGTATACATTGCATAACTTCATCAGGATCAAAATCTTACTTTTTTACGTGGACCGAAGATGTAGCTAATCGAGGTAGTACTGAAATAGCGAGTTGTCTGTTTCGATTTTGTAAGCTTTTAAAAGAAGAAAATCCCCATATTAATCATTTGATCATATGGTCAGATTCATGTTCTGGTCAGAACAAAAACTTTATAATTGTAGGTCTATATCAATATCTCATTTTAAATGGATATTTTAAAATAATAGAGCACAAATTTCCTGAAGTGGGCCACAGTTATTTAGATTCTGACAGGGACTTTGGAAGGATAGAAAAAGTTCTGAGAAAACATCAGTCAATTTTTATTCCAGATCAATATCGTAACATTATCACGTCGGCAAGCACAAAAGGTAGCATTTGTGTAAATATGGAGAATTTTTTCTACGACTTTGAAGATCTGCTAACGAAGCTCTATTTATGTAAAAAGACAACAAACAGTTCAAATGAAAAGATTAATTTTCGTGATAATGTAAAATGGATAAGAGTGGACGAATTTGGATTCTATCTCTATAAGACATGTCTTAATGACTACATGCCATTTCAGCAAGTAGATTTAAGAAAAAAAAGGACAGCACATCTGACCAGAAGTGAATATAGACCAAGAAGACTGGAAAATAAAACTGGTGGTTTGAGTTTGGAAAAACTGGAAAATTTAAGAGACCAAATAAAATTTGTTCCCGAAGAGTACAGATGGTTTTATGAAAACGCGATAGAGGAAAATAAAGAAAATCCTAAAAAGAAAAGAAAAACCTACTAAAAAATTTATTTTTGTTAATTTTTCATTTTGTATTGTAAGTGTTTTTTGAAAATAAATGACCATTTTTTATACTTAACTCTTTTATCCACTGAACCCTAACATTTTTTAATTATTTTTAGTATGTGGATTAAGGCAATATGTCCACAAAATCTGAAATATTTGGCTTAAGGTAACTTTTTTTAAATTCAATTTAAAGTCTAAAAAAAGTACCTTCAGATACCTGTTTAAAAAAGTGCAGCAATGCAAATTTATAAAATAAATAATTAACTTGGAACAAAAGACACTAAAATGGTCATTACTCAAAAATATCATTTTGTGACATATGACCTTTATCCACTTATGTCTTCAATTTGTTTTGGCATACCAGATGATAAGATTTATCACAGTACTATTGGCATGTTAATATACGGTGCTCTTGATATGTCTGTGAGTGTAGAGTTATAAAAAGAGTCGTGTGAAGTGTTATGTGATATGTAAAAAGTGAATGTTGGTTGAGATGTTTACCAATGGTGCACTACATTCTTGGATCCAGCGGTCCATAGGTACAGAAAACTTTACATTTACTGTTGAAAATACGACCCAAAAAGGAGAGGGGTATATAGGGGACTTATTTTTCGTTAAAATTGTTTTGCAACAACCTATTAATGGAAAAGACGTTCTTTATCTGGTCGCAAAGACAAATAAGAAGAATGCTGGATCAGAAAAATCTATTTCTATAGTGGAGGAACTTTGTAAGAGAGAAGTATTCTTTTACAGCACAATTCTTAAAGAATACCAGGAATTACAAAATAACAGAAAGCTTCAAGTTCCTTTCAATATTGTACCCAAGTGTTATAAAACGTTTTTAGAAGACGGCAATGAAGTTATTATTTTAGAAAATTTAAAGAAGGAAGGCTATGTGCTACATCCAAGAGAACAGCCCATGAATATTGCACATTTAGAACTGGGTCTAAAATCCTATGCAAAATTACATGCATTATCTTTTGCTCTGAAAGACCAAAACAAAGAAATGTTTGAAAATCTCTCAAAAAACTGTATTTCCTTAGTGAAAGAGATGCTTTTAAACTTCCAAACTTTATTTGATACAAAGACAAGTTCGTTAGTAGAAACTCTAAAAGAAGCTGGTAGACCTGATCTGTCGGTTGTTTATGAGAAATTTATAAATGAGAAAAGTATTTATAACAGATTTATGGAAGTCACTAATACTATTTCCAAAGATCAAGCCTTAATCCATGCTGATTGCCACAATGCGAATATGATGTTTAAATATAGGGTAAGGTAGCAAAGTTACTTTGTTTTAAAGGAACTGTATGTAGTTCCATTTTTATGGTATATTATTATAAATCTGTCATCGCGATGCCTATGTTATCGTCTTTTTTTCAGGAAAAATAATGTCCTACTTATGACATTTTAAGCAATAATTATCACTCTTCCTTCTATTCTTTAAGGCCGTTCCTTGCGTTTCTGGGCATACCTAAGTTCCCATGTAAAAGTTTATATCAAATAACGCAAAAACTATGGCAGATATTGAGATGATTCTTTTTTTATATGAAAGGTCTTAAAAAGTTCTAGTGCACTATTTGGTTGTAAATTAATAAATTGTTTAAACAATTTTTTTTTCAAATATTTTTGGTTAAAATAAACGTAAAATTTTTTTTTTGAAATAGGGCACTACAGAATTTGACCCACTTTCCGAATCTGTTTTTATTTTTAACATAAAGTCTAACACAAAGCAGCTATTTGGTATAAACTTTTTTTAAAATCTCAAATTTTGCTAAATGTAACTTTCTCTCTCGGCCAGTACAGGCTGTCCTTGTCGATAGTTTCTGGATTCTCGCCGACACGGTTAGGTTGGTTAGGTAAGAAGTATAATACCCTCTCGAAGGTGGGTCATAAATAATGTTGAATAACATTATTATGGTTTATTTCGACTTTTGACAAACCAGTGTGTTGTTGTTTTTAAAATGGGTAGTTCACGAAGACGTTTATGTTCCGATTGAGGAAATTGTATATAAATAAGCAGTACCTATAATAAGTACCTAAAATTTGATTAAATTTTTATACGAATAGAAATACTTTCTGTTGATTTATAACATTTTCCTTCTAAATGTTTATACTGTTTTTATAATAATACTATTGTTTCAGTATTTGCTTATATAATAATAATTTATTATGTAGAAACAGCGTAGAATTTTGGTCAATCAGCGAGTACATTTTTTTGTATTTTAATCAGAATTATTATTTTCTTTTCTTCTTTACATAAAAGCTTAGAGTAATACTCAAATATTTTGCAGTATTTGAATACGGAATTTGATTATTTATATTTATTGGACAATACCCAAATATTTTGCTGTATTTGAATATGGAATTTGATTATTTATATTTATAGGAATATTTATTTAGGTGGCACCACATTTCGAATGCTTCTAGGTTTTTAATGTTGGATTTTTTAAGTGACCAAGCTTGAATCCCACATAAAAGGGTAAAGAAAATATAACATCAAAGCATTCTTATCCGGAGCGATATATTGATATCTCGATTACAAAAAAGTTTTCTCATTCTATTAAAAGTTGACCGTGCAATTCCAATGCGGCATCTTATTTCTTTTGTCTAATCAGTATTTTCTGTGATCCATGCTCCAAGGTATTTGTACAAAGATATTTGTTCAATTTCTGTATTATCTAGTACTAGCTTAACTTTGATGCTTTGTGCTTTTGTAAATACCATGAACTTGGTTTTCTTCAAATTTATTTTTAGTCCAAAAAATGTACCTATAATATGATATAATCCTTATAAAATGTCTTCCGACGTTCATTTTTCATTCAATTCGGTTGTTCCATTGTTCTTTAAGTTCTCTCGAGCTCATTAAGTTTCTTATTCCTTCCATCCGTGTTTTCTAAGGTAATCCTCTCTTCTGGATTACGGTAGGTGTTCATACAGGTACTTGTTTTAGGAGTCTACTGTCTTTCATTTATTGGACCTGTACCCATTTGAGCTGCTTTCGTTGTATGCCATCCATGACTGTACGTTCTATTCTCATACTTTATTGCATTAAGTTCGACGAGATATCTTTCTTCGATATTAATATGTCTCTGTTAATCGTCGTGTTTCACAACCGTATAAATAAAGCATGCTTTTTACCACAGTTTCATGGGTTGTAGTGCTAGAGAGAGCATGTCAATTGTCAGCTGTGCCAAAACGAAAAATAATCCTCCTTATTGCTTCCACTGGAATAAGCTTGACCATTTAACTGGGCCCGGGCTACCTCTTTCTAATTCTTTAAACTCCTGTTTTGAAATTAATAATTATTTTGTCTAATTACCTATTTAGTTGTCAAAACAGATACATTGTTAACTAAAGAAGTGAAAGTGGTTCAATTTAGAAATTACATAGTAAATAATAAATATTTGAAAACTGATGCACATATTCCTCCCGCGATTTATGCTTCAAGTACTAATTTTATAAATCGCACTTCTACTAATAGACGTAAATTCTTTCATTTTAATTTCATGAATGTTTTTATTCAACATTATTTCAAAACCGCACTGAATAGAAGGCCGCCCACTCGTTTATTGTATATACCCAAGACTTCACACAATAGGGGGTTGTATAAGGTAGGTATACAGCTAACCTCTAATACAAGATGACGTTTAAAATATTCTTCGTGAATGGATTTTGTTTTTGTAAAGAAAGATATTTTTGAAATAGATATCTCTCTGAATTTTACCGTTACAATTTTCGAGGATAAGCCTTAAATGTGTTCATTATACTCATTCGTCTGATCATTTACTTTAACAATATCTTCAAATTTGCACTTATTTGTAATGCTTTCGCTGTTTTCTCGGTTAACGAGTAAAACCGTTTTTTAACTATTTTGTCAAGTATCTTCATTAGTGGTATTTGAAGTAGTATTTTGGTTTTTGATATTACTGATCCAATTTTTGCATTGTATGTCACGGCAGCCGTCTTGCAACTTCTTAATTTGTTCTCAATACTCTTTTTTATTTCCATTTTGTATCATTTGATATGCTAACCATTTGAGTGCTCTTATTATTTATTCTTGTGCTTCTGTCTAAATATTCCCAGAATTTAATATTTGAGGGGTATAGAAGCAAAATCCGTCAAGTCGCATCTATCAAAATTTTCAGGAAACGTGAAAAACTATTACAAAGGACTCCTGTGATATTTTTAGTTTTCTGTTTGATTTACTTGTGTTCTAGTATAACATTTTATTAGAAGAATACAAAATAAAAAATATTTGAGCTGCAGTTTCAGTATAAAATTGGTTTTATTTATGGACATGGCGGGATTTACAACAAAATTTAGCAACTTTATATTGAAAATTTCAAAAAACTTCGAAAAAACGTGTTTTTAAACATTAGATTCTTATTACTTTAAACCTCTTTATTTGTTTATATTTATATAATTATTGCTATAAACTGAAAAAAAACGTAAACTCGTAAAAATGAACGTTTTTTTACACAACAAATTTTACATCCTAGTTGTTTCTTCTGGAGAAAACTCTTCACATAACTTATTTGTCAATAGTTATATATCATTTACTATTTATAACTGGGAATAAGCCACAATTAAAGATAAAAATACGTTTATTGACGTTTCAATAAACGTATGAATAAGCTATTATTATATATAATTTATTATTATATATAATAATAGCTTCAGAACAATATTAAGAAACCGTTATGGGCCCAGCGTTATTCAAAATTTTAGGAGATTGGAAATTCTATACAAGAAACTGGCACACTGTCAAAACTCAATTAAATTTTTACGAAGATGTAGAGATAACAACCTAATACCAAAGGGCTTGAAGTTACGTCCAGCTTATTCAAGCAGAAGGTTGGAACACATTCTACATAGAGCCAGTTTGTCCATGATCCGAGAAAGATTACAATATCATAGATCGAATTTATTTTTTGTTGAACAAGATATTGTAAGTATTGAAGATTTGCTTTTCAATGTGATATCAAATTCTGATTTTGATCAAATTATTTTTAGTTTACATATAGTATATGAAAATTCATATAGAAAACAAAAAAATATACATTTAAATAAATTTAATATTCTTTTAGAACAAAACAGTATACACACTTTAGATAACCTCAATAGAAATGATGACATATTAGCGACAGTTGTCAATCTATCAAATAGACATTTAAATGCTACGGAGAATTTAATACTGTCAAAGGGTCTAAACTTTGCTATTACTCAGCCATCCGTTCCAAAATTAGACATAATAAGCTCAGTGGAGAAAATATCTCAATGCTTACCAACCCACGAAAAGGAAGAATACAGAGTGTTATGTAAACTTGAATTGGAAAAATCTACTAAAATTGAACAAAACATAAGCAAAGAGGAACTAAAGGCTATAAGAACTTAAAAAAATGACGACTCCATAATGATCCTACCAGCAGATAAGGGGAATGCAACTGTAATAATGGATAAAATTCAATACGAAAATAAAATTAAAGATCTATTAATAAACGGACCTTATACAAAATTAACAAAAGATCCAACAAAGCCTTTGGAAAACAAAATATATAGAACTTTATTCAAGTTTAAAGATGTTTTAACAAGTTATCAGAGAGAATTAATTACACCTCATTACAGTAAGCCTCCTCATTTTTATGGAGTACCGAAAATTCATAAAACGAATAGACCACTTAGACCCATTTGTAGTACCATGAATTCTCCTTGTAGTGAACTATCAAAATTTTTATTAAATATTTTAAAACCTTATACAAATAAAAATGACACATTCATAAAAAACACACAACATTTTTTAAGTAAATTATCAAATATTGAATTTAATTCAAATAATACTTTGGTAAGTTTTGACATAAATAGTTTATTTACGAATGTGCCATTAAATAAGACTTTAAGTATAGTCAAGACAAAATTAGAGAGTGATGATTCATTGGCAACTAGAACAAGACTAAACATATCGGCTATAATGGAGTTATTAACATTATCTACTGATAATACATATTTTCAACTAAATAATGAATTCTATAAACACAATTTTGGTCTAGCAATGGGCTCTAGTTTATCTCCATTCTTAGCCGATATATTTATGGAAGATTTTGAAACAAATATCATTTCTACACAAAATTTCAAACCCACAGTATGGTGGAGGTATGTAGATGATGTATTCTCAATATGGCCTCATGGATCAGAGTTGTTGGATACATTCCTAAACGATATAAACGATAAAGAAGAGACAATAAAATTTACCATGGAAAAGGAATATAATAA